ACAATTTAACCAGAGGTGAAAAATGCACTGGTCGTTCTTTTTTCTGCTTATATTCCTATTATTCTTCTATAAATTCTGAATTCTTATTCCATTGCTCCTCGTCTCGTTGTTAAATTCCAATTACCTGCGTTATTTATCATATTAAATAACAATTATGCGATGAAACGAAACGTTTATTCATTTTTGAAATTCTTATAATCGAATAGAAATTTACCACATATTTAACTACAAATTTATCAGGTTTTCATTTATTGAATATTTTTGATTTTAAATATTTTAAATTTTTATTAACGATTTCATTTTTATTAACGATGATGATTGGTGTGCGATGATTTCGCCACAGAATTGGTCAGTTAAGAGATGAGTTCTCCACTCGAATTTGATTTTTAGCAAAGACAATATCGAACCTATAACGCTACTCTACTACTTTTAGCACTAAACTCATAGTTTTGAAGCAAATTTCACGGGTGAAATTTTGCTTATATGAAAAAATCGATGATAGAAATTGTGATATAATTCTGAAAATATAATTAATTTATTGTAAAGTTATGTAGGTATGAAAAAATGAATAGAATCTAATCACTTTTTTCATGAAAAAATGCGCTCTTTCACCACTGTTGAATCATCAAATCTTGAAATATCCTGAAAATAATAAAAAGAAAAATAATAACGAAGCATTTGAGTCCATTCCTAGTTAGGCTAGCTCAGCCACTTGTTAGTACGGGTAAAAGTTTTCGCCAGGGAGTGAACTGAGGGTAGGAATGAGGTGAATGCCAACACAGCCCATAGCCTTTTAATGAAAGTCTAATCTTGTCAAAGGAGGAAGGGAAAGAGGGAGCCAAGATCCGAGTGCCTTTCTCTCAGCATAGTAATTTGAACCGCTCGATTATTATGTCTCCTTCGTATATTCTGAAAATAAATACATTGATAAACTATCATTCAAAATATCATTTGTTATTTCGACAGTCAGCGAATCGAAATGCATTGGAATGAAGCAAAAAAAAATTAAATATTATTGGATATGAATCCAATTCAAACGTCGAAACCATTTCATCCATTAACATTGGTCAATTGTTTCTTCAGTTATTTTTATATTATTATTGTCACTGGAAATGACACTTACTATAACTATTCACCGTAGCTATTTAAGAAATTTGGAAAAATTTTTCAAAATTTAAAGTTGATTTAATTCAGTTTTAAAAATTTAAACCAAATCAGTTGGATATATGGTTGCTTCAGTTTGTCTCGAGTGTCATTCCATTGCATGGCTGTGACAGAAAAGTTATTAAAAACTCTGGGTGATGCTGGTCAACCACCCGTACTTCTGTTGCCGAGTGACTCTCTGGGAAAAAATTCAAATCATATTAACTACCCTAACTATAAAGGTGAAAATTGACCATTTTACTTTTTAATTTACATCAAGTCCTTTTCTAAATGTAGATATTCCATGTTAAAGAAGCCATAAGCAAATTTAACGAATAACGTTTTAAAAATTTCTTTGCATATTTTCCCATTATTTTATTTATTTTATGGCAAATAATTTTTTAATTATTTCAATTTCATTTGCAATTCCAATGGTCAATTTTCCATTAAAAATGAATGGATTTTACCCTTCGTGGGCGAATCATATTTCTTACTGGAATAACAATCTTTCACCTATTATTTGTTATTCACGGTTTGGTATTGTTTATCTATTTATCCAAGCATATTTTGCAAAAATTCGCATTATAAAGAAAATTTATTGTTTGATTTGCCATCTCGTTTATCGTCTAACTTTATTTGTTTTAATCATGCCCAAACATCTTATAACTTTAGCCAGTGGAGCCAGACTAACCAGCAATGAAGAGAACTGTAAATGGAAGAAAATTTCAATCACGAATGCATGAAGAAGCGAAGGAGGAATCGACTTAGGATGGTACTAAAAAGGTAGAGAACCAGTTAAAAGCTGGATTGGCACGTTCAGGAGAGTTTTGACCGCATGGGCAGAACTAGCGACATATGAATCGGCTCAGATATAGCGTCAGAGATTTTAAAGCGTCTCACTCTATAACTTGTAACCAATTTAACCAATGATGCTATCAGAAGAAGAAGAATCAATTTCGAAAACTTTTCATTTAAATTGCCGAATCAACAGTTTAAAAAAAGCTTCAAATACAAGTCGGATATAATAAATTATACGGATTAGTTTTCCAAAGAGAAAAAATTTGTGCTAAAATTAAATTTCAGCAATCTATTTTTCTCGCCTTCTTGAAAGCATTTTTTGGCTTTCTTAGCTTTTAACCAACAATTCGTTAAGCATCATCATCATCATCGCAACATACATTAAACTACTTCGATTAAATTTTATTTTTGTATGTATCTTTGGAAGTATAACTTTTACTTTACTGAATAAGTAAATAAGTAAATGATTAGCCCTAACCAGTAATGGTAATAATGCGATAATGATAATTTCTGGCCAGTCTTGCTAGAAATTTTGCTATGGAGCCACTTAACTACTGAAATAGTAGATATTTCTCCTCTTGAATTTTTAATAACAAGGAGCGGAATTGAATCTGTCAGCACAATAATCTGAACCATTATCCTTAGCCTTATCCACTTATTGCAATCCAGAAAACTATTTCATTTATAAAAATTTCCTTGAACAACCAAAAAAAATTCGTATAAATGCGAAAATGGGCAAAAGGAAAGAAATAACTGCGAATAAATTCCAATCGAACCATAATTCCATTATTTTTTTTGTTACTCGACGATGACCTTGATTTCTTCTCTTCTTCGTCTCCCAAAACCATTTCACCTTTTTAATCATTTCGTAAGAAATAAGAAATAAATATATCTCGTTCGGCAGTGTTCGCTGGTAGTAATAAAGAAAATCAAAAGGTCATTCATTCATTCTATTTATTATAAATTTGGAATCTACTTTACTAACTAAATTTAAATTTTGCATTAAATCGACTTAATAAGCACTCGTTTCTGGTGATTGCGTTGAGGCTCTTTTCGGAGGGTTAGAAGTAGAGTTAAAAGCACGAGTGGCTTGCCAGCATTTGTTGGATTTTTCTTTTAATGACAAGTTTACTTCCAAGGAAACAGAATTCGAAATATTTGCTCGATCTTATTGGAAGCAGCGTAGTGTTCCACCGTATTCGTCCTCTCCATTTTATACTAACAAATAATTTTAACTTTGATAAAATTTTAATGAAATACAAATGAAATAATGGAATATTTAATAATTCTTTTCGCTCATAAATAGTCGCCGATTTATTTATTCGTTTCGTTTCGTTTCATTTTGTCTGACTAAATGTGCTAAAAAACCAAACATTCTTCGTTTCTATACAGTCTTAGAAAATCGTTTTTTTTCGTTTATTTTTATTATCATCGATATGAACATCTGTTATTTGATCATAGACAGCATTAAGAATTTCTTGCTTATTCATTCAGTAGTTGCTGACTTGTGCAATGCGATGATCGGTCGGTCGGTCGGTCGGGTGGTCGACTTCGTTTAAGGAATTTTATTTTTGGAATTTGTTTCAACTTTCCAGATTACTACTCTTTAAGGCTTCCAATAAAACTTTAAAGAAATATGGATCGATTTATTCAGATTAATTTGTTTTCTTATTTAAAATGAATTCCCAGTCGCCTGTATTTCTACTCTTAAATGTCTCCCTGGCAAAGAGGGCCTTATCCTTGGAAGCTAAATTAATAGTCCGTTAAGGTAGCCAAATTGGAAATGGTGAGTGATATGAAAAGAAAAATTCGTTGAAAAAAATTAAAATGTAGAGTGTTTTCATTTTTTATGAGACCAGTCATCATCCATAAGTTTTAAAAGGGAATTTATTTCAACTTGCCGGAATTGGCTGTTCTCAATTATTTAATCCGAATTTTCAATAACTGCGCTAAATTTCTGGCTGTTTATATGAGATCTTTGAAATTAGTTATTACTGCATTAAAATGATATTTAAAAGACTATCGCCTCAAATGTAGAAGATCGTGTTTTGTCTCCAACAGATAAGCCTATCATTAGAAAATTCTGTTGTTGCTTATGATATTTATATATATATATATCTTAATGTCTGGTCATAGCCACCAGAAAGAGCTTAATAATGGAATAAGCGCCAGCCTCTTGTTTAAAGTAAACGGGTGGTGAAGATAGCTCAATGGATTGTTGATAATTCAAAGCACAAATGTGGAGTTTTACTGTGGCAGAAATAAATTTATCTTTCAAAAATTCAGATAAATTCAGATATCCAAGTGATTCCTTGGCAAAATTTAACAAGCCAGTGGAGTGAACTTAAGCAGAGATAGTGGGTGCTCAGAAAAAAAAAGTCCTTACTTATTTTATTGTATTTATAATAATCTACTAGTTATTTTGAAATTTTCATTTAATTTATGTTGATCAAATGATACTTTAAAAATAGATTATTTATTTGTTTTGATGGTTAATAATCGCCATCATTTATTAGTCATTTTAGTATAATCGTTTACCTAGCCTAGGGCGAGTATATTCTTCGCCTTCTGACAGCATCTATGTTTATTTCGTTAATATGTTTATTTCCTCTGGTATGGCATTTTCTTTTTGTAAAAAGATGTTGAATAAAATAATTGTAATGTTAAATTGGCAATGAATTAACTCAAATTTAATTTATTTATTGTTATTAGCTATTATTACTCTCAGTAAGTAAGTATATTTCGTCATATTTTTAAGTTCATTCTAATAAAATTTTAAAAAATAACTGAAGGAAAGTCTGCTTCCCGTAACAAAAAGCCTTTAAAAAACATATTTCAAAAAAATCTATTCGTTATTTTTAAAAATAACGATTACCTAGTGGAGCCAACAAATGTAAAACGTTTTATATTCGTATTTAATCGTGTAAGTAAACTTTTCGCCGGCAATCCATTTCTATTGCTATTCGCTGTTAACCTGTTAGTTACTGGTTCTTATCATCATTTTTTAGGTATTTTTTAATTTCTCACTTCATTAACTCAAAAGTCCAAGCGCTTAAGAAATGTCAACTGATTATCGCAGCACGATATCTGCACGTCCTGGTTTTAATCGAACGATTAATACGACATCCACAAATGCATTTGGACCACTTCGTTAGTATTCCACTTAAGTTACAATATCTTATTTATCCAAGTTTACTTAACTACTTATTCCAGAATCTGGAAATCGTGTATTAAAAATCGTAACTGAGATGAGTTCGTCGTCATTAACTAGTGGCTTGTCACCGTTTGGACAAAATGCAGCATCAACCATTCGTGATGCTCGTGAACGCGAAAAGAAAGAGATGAGCGATCTTAATGATCGCTTAGCTGATTACATTGAGAAGGTTACTAAGTTTTTCCTATCACGAATGGAACTACTCATCATCCAAAAGACAGTTTAAAAAAATTTGTTAAAACAAATTTCATGAAAAAATTCGTAATATTATCTCCAAAAAAACGATGGTCATCACTCGATGTTCAGAAAACAATAAAAGTTTTTTAAATAAAATTTTCAGTTTTGACGCAAAAATTTCCATATTTTCAAAATTTGATTAAAATTTTCGATGTATTCTTAGTTAAATTTTTTTTATAGCTACCAATATCTCATATTTTTTCTTATAAATGCGAAGACAAGCTTTCCGTAAATATTTGTTTCTTACTTTACAGGTACGATTTTTGGAGGCGCAAAACCGCAAATTAAATGCCGACTTGGAAATGCTACGTGGACGATGGGGCAAAGATACGTCAAGTATAAAAATTATGTATGAAGGAGAGCTCACTGTAAGTCATTTATATATATATATATATATATATATATAATTATTCAAAGTGCAATAAGAATACATGGATAAAAGATATATGGCTAGAAGTCAACTAAATCTATAGTATATAAAAGTATATAAAGTATATATATATATAAAATATAATATCTAATATTTTCCTTTGCGAGAGAATTCGACAAAATTATAAGGAAATTTTCGTATATGTTGAATTGGAATATAAATTAAGATTTTCAGTTGGATCAAAGAAAATATATTTATAAAATAGCTATAATAATTGTAAAAAAAAATGGAAAATTAGTGGAATAATAATAGCCTCGCCTGCCACACAATTGTTATTCTCTTTATTTGTTATTCTTTTAATCTTTTGTATACTTCTTTTGAACGGGCAATAAGATAAAAAGCGTGAGACGCCGATTGCTCAGAATTTTATCCTCAAACAATAAAGTACCAAAGAACCAATAACAAAGGAAAAAACACAAAAAATTAAAAATAAAGTATTAAAAAAAGCTAGGGAAAAAAGGAGAAAAATTTGGGTATATTTTCAAATTTAGACATATATTCAAATTTAAAATAAAAAATTATCGGAATTGTTGGAATTGCGCACCGCATGAGCCCCAATCTGTTTGGTTTGGCTTGGTGCCCATAACAAACAAATTAATTCAAAGCTGTGGTCAATCTCTCTTCGGAATTAATTAGAAGTGCATTAAAGGAATTGAAAAACTCTATTAAAAAAGAGTTTTATGAAAAAAATTTAAATAAGTGTGAGCTTCCATGACGGAGGCAGCGATCACTAATTGAAAATAATAAATTTGGGAAAAGCATCGCGTTTTGCGACAATAATAAAAATAGTAATAATAATAATAATAATAATAATAATAATAATAATAATAATAATAATAATAATAATAATAATAGTGGACTGATCACAGGAAGCACGTAAAATAATAAACGATACTTCGAAACAACGCGAAGATCTCGAGAAGCAAATCAAGGCAATGCAAGAAGAAGTCGCTGAATTTCGTAGAAAGTAGATTTTTAAAATTCTTCAAATAAATCGTTGATTTCCTGATAGATATTTGCCTTGGCATAGACGCCAAATTTGTGTAATTTGTTGTGCAAACAATGTTTCTTTCATTTCAGAACTATTTTTCAGCTAAACAAAAATTTGATAAAAGATGCAAAATTCATATTAAAATTGACAATAGTGGGAAAAAAGTCAGAAAATTTTCTGCAGGTTTGACGAAGCGACAAAAGCTCGTTTGACAGATCGCGAGCGTATTGATGAATTACTCGTTATTCTTTCGAATATCGAAGCTGAAATTAATTTACTAAAACGGCGAATTGCACTTCTTGAGGAGGAAATTAGTCGTATAAAGAAGGACAATCAACGACTTGCTGCAGAACTTCAACGTGCACGTACTGTACGAATTGTTTTTTTGTAATAATAGCATGAAAACTAGTTTGAGTTGATTCACCAACAGCTGTTTCAATCATTCATTTCACATCATTCGAATTATCGAGAAATTTTGGCGTTTGTGGCCTGTTTTTTTCCTTTTTATTCCTAGTTCCTCTTTTCCTCTTTCTCTGTTAATTTGAGATATTTTTTTAGGACATTCTTTAAGGAAAAGTTAGGAAAAAGTGGTTAATATTCACAATCTCTGCTCAAATTTGTTCTCCTGATTATTAGGGATGAAACCTAAAGGATCTCTTAGGTGATACAAGCCTATCAGATGGGTGATTGGCAGTTCCTGCTAGAGTTAGAGCTAAGAATGCTCGAAATGATACTTGATCTGCCAGTAGCAAAAACTCGGCTATTCTGTTCCAAATTTGGAGCCAGTTGAATCCGATTCTTCAGCGAATGCAAATTAAATATTGAATTATTACGACCTTAAAATCCAGATTTTATTGCCGTAAATCATCAGCACTCGTCCAACTTACTTTTGTTTCATTTTTTCATTCTTTCTTTATCATTAATTTATTACTTCCTTCCAATTTTTATTTTTGTTTATTTCTTCTTCTCTATTATATCGTCGTTCAAAGAACAGTGGATATGATTCAGGATTTGGATCAAGAAACATTAAATCGTATCGATTATCAAAACCAAGTTCAAACGTTGCAAGAAGAAATCGACTTCATTCGCCGTGTTCAAGATCAGGAAATCCGTGATCTTCAAGCAATGGCTGCTCGTGATACAACTAGCGAAAATCGTGAATTCTTTAAGAATGAACTTTCATCTGCCATACGTGATATTCGAAATGAATATGATCAGGTTCATTCATTCAAAATCAATTATATTGGGGATAGAATGGCTCAGTGGGTTGTTGCTCAATTCGGAGCACCGACGCTGAAGTTCTATTCCCCGCAGGAGTAAATAAACCTCCCAAAAATCCGGGTGATGCTGGCGATTTATATATAATACTTCTATTGCTAAGGGACTCCCTGGCATATTTGTCCAGTGCGACAAGCCAGCGGAGTTTAAATAGTAATGGTAAAAATTCTTTAAAAAAAAATTATATTTATTACCTTGAACTTTGTATTTTGCATTAAATTATTATTCCATATTTACTGAGATATTTATTTTTTACTTTATAGTTGACAAACGCGAATCGCAGCGATATGGAATCATGGTATAAATTGAAAGTGCAAGAAATTCAAACACAGTCAGCTCGCCAAACTATGGAACAGGGCTATCAACGTGAAGAAGTTAAAAGATTACGTGTACAACTTGGTGATTTGCGGGGTAAACTGGCTGATTTGGAGGGTCGAGTAAGTTCCAGTCATGATTGGTTTGAAGCCAACCAAATTGAGTTTAAACCCACGAACTTAATTGATTAAGATTGCTGACATATATTTTCAGAATGCACTACTCGAGAAACAAATTCAAGAACTTAATTATCAACTTGAAGATGACCAACGTTCTTATGAAGCAGCGCTTAATGATCGTGATGCACAAATTCGTAAAATGCGTGAAGAATGTCAAGCTCTTATGGTTGAACTTCAGATGCTTCTTGACACCAAACAGGTCCTATAACATCTAATTCATTTTAATCCTCTTCTTCTTCTAGTAGCTCGCATTATTACTAATTCCCTTCATTAGTGATTAGGATAAGACGTTTTCATGTTGACCACCTTTTTTTCACCTTTTACGTCAAAACCTGTACTTTGCGTCGCCTATGTGTTCAAAAATCTATTTTGATCGCAGCAGATTTTATTTGGTCCTCGCTTTTGCATCCATCCATCGTAAAATCTAGTATGCAGCGAAGTATGTGCCAGTTTTTATGATGGACTAGAGCAAACGACGATGTTCTTAATAGTAGCATTCGAGCGAAGGTGGACATTTAAGACTCTGAGGCTTAGTCGATAATTAGGATGTTCGTTAAGCAAGAGTGAAAAATAGTTAACTTTTTGGTTTATCCCACTCACACTGGTCATGTTTCGTAGCTGTAAAGAAGAACTGTACTACTAAGTATTACAGCCAGATCAATGTGAATTTTCTTTTCTTAATGACCCCAAAGAGGCCAGAAGAAATAAGGTACGTCTGGGTGCGAGCTGGAATTTCATCTTTTTGCTTCTCCAATAGATATAAGACTGGCTCGGAGATATTTGAAATCTTCTTGAATCTTCCGATACTTCTTGAATTTATGCGATGTTGTTATTATGTATATAAATCGAAAAACATTTCGTTTTATTTACATTGTTTTTGATGCCAATTTTATTTCCTGCTAATAGCGCTCGATCTAGCATCTGTTGTAATTTCTTGTAACTTTCAGCGAAAAAAACATCAGCGTATTAAAGGTATTAAAGGTTCGTGGTACTATGCTCTGGATTGATTTATGCATGATTATCGGCAAGAAGTATCTAATCATAGTTGAAAATAGAAAAGGAGAGGAAACGCATATCCGTTCGTATTTCGAAAGGTTGTGCCAACTCCTCATATATGCTTACCGCTACAAAATGTTTTGACAGTTCTGATTAATTCTCTTAAATACCATCGTGATGCGTGATTTGCTACAGCCTCCCTCTTGATTAAATCAAGAGCAGCAGCAAAATAAATGAAGCATGTAATTGTAATTAGTGCATATATGAAGTGATACTCCAATAACCCTCAAAGCGTGAAAGTTAACACAAACTGGCCTAAATCTGGCTTGCTTAGAGTTTAGTTAGGTTGTACTGCCACTCAAGAGAGGCAAAAATCTTTCCAGAAATATCTAGTGAATTCAACAATGGCGTCTTATCGCTTTCTTCCAAGAGGTATTTGCTCTTCGCATATCCGTTCATAATCTTCATAGATATGCTGTGAAGAACTTATTTTAATCGAAATAATGAACAGTGGAAACAGAAAAAGAATAAACTGAATTTTGACTTCGTCTGTAAAAAGCAAATTAGATTTTAAGACATTGGATGCAGAAATTGCGATCTATCGTAAAATGTTAGAAGGTGAAGGAGATGGTCCTGGACTCAAACAACTTGTCGAACAAGTTGTGCGTACAACTGGTATTAATGAAGTTGCTGATACAGGTTATTATTAGTTTTTTCTGGACTTTTTTATTCCACTGATGAATCGATTATATTAAATAATAATATTTAATGCCATTTAGATGCTAATTTTTCCCAAAATTATGGTGCTTTTAACTGATTCTCCATGAAACCTTTTCGCCAGAAAATATATTATTAGAATAAAATTGCAGAAACTATGCGTGTTGTGAAAGGTGAGACGTCATCTCGCACCTCCTATACTCGATCGGCGAAAGGAAATGTTTCAATTCAAGAAACAGCGCCTGATGGAAAATATATTGTTCTCGAAAACACGCATCGATCGAAAGAAGAATTTATAGGCGAATGGAAACTAAAAAGGAAGATTGATGGCAAGAAAGAAATTATTTATACTCTACCCAAGGATTATCTATTGAGACCTGGAAAACATGTTAAGGCTGGTTTTTTTAAAATTTTGTTGATAATTATCAATAATTTTCAGTATTTTAGTAATAATACCGTTAAAATACGCTTTAGATATGGGCAAGAGGTCAAGGCGGAGTACATGCACCTCCTGATCAGTTGATATTCGATGGCGAAGATACTTTCGGGAGTGGAGGCAATGTACAAACTATCCTTTACAACAAAGAAGGAGAAGTGAGAATATAAACCATTTATCTATAAATAATTTAAATCCATAAAGATCCAGAAAATGTCCGATTTGCACGGCACTTATAATTCATTAAGAACACTGGTTAATCGCCACGCCTTCTATATTTCTTTAAAAAAAGAATTATGGCACTATATAACCTTTTCAGGAAAGAGCAACCCACATTCAACGTTCCAGCCAGACTGTAAGTTGAAGCCCTTAAACTCCTTCTAGCGAGTCGTTTTTCAGCTTAATCGATCAATCTTTCCATCAATCCATATATGCATTTTATTCTATTTAAATATTTGTATAAGTCCTTTTAATGAACCATAAAACGCAATTTTCTAAAATTTAAATCAATTTTGAAAATGATTCTGTTAAATAAAAATTGCATTTTAATGCGCCGAATAACAAAAAACTTGAATGAACTTTTAGTTTATTTTTGGTAATAATTTGATGACTTTTTTAAAGTAAAAAAAGTAAGTGGTTAGCGCTTACCATTTCTCATTTGATTCAACGAAATTTTAGCTACGGAATCATTCAAAGATAGAAATGCGAGTTGCCAGTACCACTCAGAAATACTCATAGATGATTTATATAGCAAGCAGATTCAAAAAATTTAGCGTATTTTACAAATTTTTTTTACAAATTCTTCTTCTAACATCTATGATGCTTAATTTCAATGGAAACGACATGCCGCTCGACCCTTTTTGACAAATTAACGCAGAATTTTGCGAAGATATTGTGGTTAAATGGTACTACGACAATATATTCTATTCAACAGGCTTCAAAGACAATTGCTGCATTTGTTATTCATGTCGAAAAATTGGAAAATTATAATAGTCTGAGACAACTAGCTATGAAAATATAAAAATTTGCGCGATATAACTACCAAATTTTGAAGATCACCATTTCTGGTTAGACGAACTCCACTAGGTGTTAGGAGTAGAGGTGGATCATTAGTAAAGGCAATTTTATGAAGATTCAATTTTTAAGTCATTAGAAAATTTACGAAAAACCGATTTATTTACTGAAAAGATTCAAACATTCTTGCAAGGCTGAATGAATGCTAAATTTCTTAGATTATCTTGGATGAATATAATACATAAAAGTCGTGTAAATTACGTATGGAGCGTCAGGAATAATGTTCATATTCCTTTCTGGAGTGTTTAGTTAATATTTCGATACTGGCATTTCCATGCATGATTAGGGTTGGAGCCTGAAAAACATACAAATCATAATGCTGCCATTCGATTGTAGGAGAAATCGATTGAAGGACAAATACAAAAATACTTCAATTATTCAAACAGACTCTTTAAATCATCAAATTGAAATGTTTGATTAAGTAATAAGGATTTCGGACATAAACAGTATAAGCTTTCTGGAAGATATCCTGATGAAAACCATGGAACTCATCCAAAAATGTTGCATTTGTTAAAATGCAAAAGAAGATCGAATTAGGAAAAATTAATTATTTGCTTTAAGTGACGATTGCTATTCACCATTTCTGACTCACTCCACTGGCTGCTAATATGGTTAGAAGTTTTGGGAGTATTTTGTTCCGCTTGAAACTTCAGGTCCACAACAATTTATTATAAAAAATTACCTTAAAATTCGCCCAGTATACCAAGAAGTGCAAAAAGAAGGAAAGCTACAGCAATAAAACCGCATATGATATCCTGATGTTCATGAACAAATGGAATCGCATATTCACTGCTATGTGAAGGACTTAGAATCGGTTCAATTTCGATCAAACAGTTGAGAAAAATTTAAATTGATTTCCTGGCTCAGTACTAGCCGATTGACTTTTAGAATAAGCTTAAATTATTATTCTTTTAACCTTGATGGCCTATTTCGCTATGAATCTAATTATCAGAGTCTAATGACCAATTTTTTCGAATAAATAACCCCGTGAATCTATTGCAAATGTTTGATAACCAGCCGAGGAACTCATTTGCAAAAGTGATGGAAGAAAAAATTTGAGTTCTTTAGTTGAATTTTTCAAGAAAAATTTTGAATTAAAAATTTTATTGCAAAAATGGAATGAGTTAAAAAGAGATATTGGTGTTACTGTGACAACTCAATACAACTATAATATGGCATTTAGCACGATGCGACTCAGAACGGTGATTAGCCCACTGTAAGAAAGAGACATGTTGGGATACAAGCAAAGGATGTGTTTCGTCCGATTTGATACAAGTACTGTCGTCAATAACAATGTTTTAGGAGAGAAATAAAAATCTAACATAGACTGAAATGTTGTTTGACATGATTTGTACCAAATCATGCGCAATTTTAAGAAATACAGGGGAAATGAGGATCTTGACATTACTGCTTAGCGAGAATAACATCAAATGTACAAGACAATTAATTGCTTTACTGCAGTATTCGCCTATTACTTTTCTGTTTTTCAAAATACCTCTTATTTCATTGATTATTTAATTAATCAAGTAAAATGTAAATAATTAAGTGGTTGGCACTCATTAATTTTGGTATTTAAGAAATTGCAAAGGTATTGCTAGTACGGTAAGAATTCTTGCATGTGATTTTCTGCTGAAAATTCCCCATCCCATGCTATTATAGTAATATTTGGTTAGAAGAACAGTTCTGACAGATATAGCCAGAAAAGATTTTGAATGTACCAGCTGGACCAGCGAAATGTTGACTTAGATGATAGAGAAAGAATGGCATCTATTACTTACTGTCTACGATGGTGTCGGACCGAACAGCTTGAAACAAAACGTCTTTATAGCCAGCGATTAATGGTGAGAAGAAAAAGAAATTACTTCACGTGCGAAGCTCATTTAATGGGCCCATTCAATTAGTTTTACAATTCATTCCGTTAAGATAATTCATTACTTATTCAGATTTTTTATATCTATTCTGATTCTTAGGGACATTTTTCAAAATCTGTGAGTCATATGAAGCAAAAGCCGTACATAATATTCCGATTACCATAACCAATTTCTTTAGAATTTCACGGTCTTTCAAGAATCATTGAAAATTATTTTAGGGAAATTTGATTAACCTTTTTTTTTCTTTCAATTTCAGAGAAAATTTCAAAATAAAAAAACAATTTTAAGAGTATACAACATCAAATAATAATAATTTAAATAATAATAATTTTTTGTCCTTTCTTTGCCTCTTAACTAATGTTAATGATCATTAATGTTTCTTAGACTTAGCAAATTTTGCAAATTTGGAAAAAAGTGAAAAAAGGACAGAAAAAATTTTAATGAAATCTTAATCTTAATATATGGACGTATCAAGCCAAGCGATCACTGTCCACACCTTTTCTAAATATCGTGTGGATATCGTCTGCTTGTCAGAGATCCGTCTTCCTCACTCCGAAGAATTATTCCTGGTTCGGAGCAGAATATCTGGCTATATCACTATAGTGTTTCAGATAACTCGGGGAGAAATAGCGTAGCGATTGTCGACAAGGCCCATTCCGCTTTAATTGAGTGGAAACCGGTAAGAGACCATATCGCCTATGCTCGTTTTAAGGGTGAATTTTGCAATATCTCGGTCATCAGTGTCTATGCTTCAACTCTGTCGGCAGATGACCGTGATAAAGACAAGTTCCATGCGGAACTTCAACTAACAAAGTCTCTATCGAAATATGACATGATCATAATCGAGGGAGAGTGGAATGCTCGCGTATGTCATAATGCAGCTGTGATGACCTCAACAATTGGCAAATATGGCATCGGAGACTGGTGCGCCAATGGGTAACGCCTTCTTCGTTATACCGATGAGCATGAACTTTTTATTACTAGTGCTTATTTCCGGCATCGTAGAAAACATCTATGTGGGATTCCCTGGTTAACCAACACTTCAACCAGATTGATTATATCTTAGTCAATCATCGTTGGAAAAGTTCCGTATTAGATAATCGTCCCTATCGCGGCGCTGAAACGTGCAATCTTCATGGATGATCTGACCATGTTATGGTTAGAGCTAAGATCCGCATAAAATTGAAAAATTGACAACTCGCAGAAAACAGCATCCCCGAAGATCGTTAAACTATCTCAAACAAAAAAATTCGAGGGCGGTGAGCGCATTTCAAACTGAATTATTGAAGCATCTCAGTGATACAAATATCAATGACTTTTCTGCAACGGCAAATGAACACTGCTCCAAACTAAAGGAATGTCTCCGAAAATCAGCCACTTCCACGCTAGGGCATACTAGTAGGAAGTGCGCTAGTTGGGTATCGGAAGCAACTGTCCAATTTCTGAAAAAGCTGCCAAGGCACGAATGTCAGCTGATCCTGACTACCGGGTGCTTCGAAAATTTGCAACGAAAGCATCAAAGCGGGACAGAAAGCGGGATCACTATTGGAGTGACATGGCCTTAAGAATGGAGGCGACGGCTCGATTTAAGCGACAATAGGAAACTATTCTGCCTTCTTCATAAAACAACAATGACTATGATGTGGTGATGACTATGGTGTCTGAAATGGTAAGAGACAGCAATGGCGTACTAATCAAAAGTATTAAGGATCGCCTCATAATTATCAATGATAATTTATTACTCAAATTTTGATCTTATAATTGCAATGTAATTCTTTTTCGTTTAATTAGCACTCACCATTTAAATGATCAAAAATTAGGCTGCCTTCACAATAAGATAGTTGTCCGAAAAAAGTTGCACTTGTGACAGCGAATGAATAAAATATTTATTGAAAATTGATAATTTACGATAATAAATGAATTAATTATTTGACAGCACATATAAAAAAAAATTGCTTTATTTAGATATATGCAACCCACTGTCACGTGTTCATCGTCTTTGCGACTGCCTTTGATTCAATTGATAAAAAGGCGCTTTGGTGATAGAATGCGGTGTTCCAGAGAAGATCGTTCGGCTCATAAAAGCATTTTATGAGCGTACGTCGGCGCAGGTCTGATCTGCGTATATGGGGAACTGACAGACTCCTTCGAAATAAGAACTGGTGTCCGTCAAGGATGCGTTCTTTCCCTTACAATATTCAACTATGCGATAGATTGAGTAATGGCCACTTGTCGGCACTCAAGAGATATCCAAATCACTCCAGAGCATCGTATCACAAACCTTGAATTCGCTGATGATGTAGTCCTTTTTGCTGAAAGTTATGACGGAATTGCAAGTAATACTAAATAATGTGTCAGAAACTGCGGCAAGAATCGGATTCAAGATCAGTGTAAATAAAACGAAAGTACGCATCTATATAGCCGTGCAAGATGGTTCTGAGGCATGGCCAACGAAAGTGGAGGATGTTAAGAAGTTACCTGCCTTTGACCACTTTTGTCTAAGGTATATATTACGGATCCATCAAGTGGATAAAATATCACATGACCGCATCCATCTTCGTTCAAATATCACTTTCACAAATAATATTATCACAGAGCGTCGCCTTCGGTGATTAGGGCACGTTCTCCATCGTCGGCCACAAGAATTGTCGCATATTTCGTTATTTGCTAAACCGTATGATGGGTGACGTCAAAAGCGAGGTGGCCCAATCAAGAGCTGGACTGATACGGTCAGAAAAGATTTTGAACGTATAGATGGACCAGCAATACATGGACTTAGACGATGGAAGAAGGAATGGCTTCTATTACTGTCGATGATGGCATCAGACCACGCCGTTTGAGCCAGCCTAACCAGTAATGGTGAGAGCTGTTAGAAGAAGAAAAATGACAAAATGCAGAGATTGGATGATATGTCGCTTCGACTGTCGAGCCTTGTATTTCGACATTCGACAAGCCATTAAAGATGAAATCAGAACGCTGCTTCTATCGAAGTGTCTCTCTGGTGAAAATGTCTCATTCTCTCAATTAATGAGACAAACCAGATTAGATATGGTACTGCAAGACGAGTAATAAATATATTATCGCAAAAAATATTGTCGTTTCAAAGGTGAATTTTCAGTGAAGTGATTTTTTCTAAAAAAATAACCAGCATAGGCATAGGTTTCTTACGTTTATATAATAGAGTGACATTATTATCACTATTACCAGTGAACTGAGTTTGGTGAAAATTTATCCAGTCGCCCAATGATGGAGTGTGAAGTGCTACCCTAAAGAAATTTGCGCATTGTATGCTCCGTTTTATCGAAAAAATAATGCAACAATGATAATAAATAATAAAAAATATCCGAAAACAGTGGATGTGATGAAGTCAAGAGTGGAATTTGGAAATGATGGTATCACTGGTGATAAGTCGCCCAAAGATTTGATGGACCAAAAGTTAATGAAGATTTTCCTCATTCGATGGCCAAAGCTAATTCAAGATAAACATTGGATAAAAATTCTGAAAAAGTTTGTATCAATCATCCATCATCTTCATGACAAGAGAGATTCAAATAAGGCTGGTGTTTGAGATTTACTGAAAAGTGCTTTAACTGTCAATAAGGACTTTATCCTAAACAGAAAAGAAATCATTTTTGGCATAATTGTTGCTGGCACTCTAATTGGTACTCTACGATCATATTTGTAAACTACTGGGAGAATAACCAGCAATAACCGCTAAACACCAATATTCATAGCAAAAAAACGTGCTGTATGGAGAATTAAAAGAATTATGAGTTAATAAACCTTGCCAAACTATTGCTCGCTTCTAATAGCTATTACGAGCACCGCAATTGCCTTGACAAGAAATTTCATCGAAATCGCCTACAGTAGCTAACAGCAAAATGTAATCCCCCAACATGATAAGGCTTCAAAAAATATACAAAGAGCTTGGCTGGAAAGTTTCATCTCACCACTCTTCAGCCTTGATATTATCCCCTCAGATTTTCATCTGTAACGCTATTTTATGGAAAAAAAATTTTTTCATTTTTTAGATGGTAAAAATAGGTTTTTGATATTTCAAGGGCTCAAGAGATTCTATAAAAAGGAATATGCGAAAAATTTTATAGACGAGGAAAAATGGTGGTTAACTGAATGCCTAATTTTTTGATATTCTCGATATTTTAAAATTTTCAATTTCCTTCATATTTCAATTGAATCTTTCGTTAGAAATACGATATTTTATTTGATGACCTTATCTAACCGAAAAATTTCATGTAATTAGTTGTATTACAATGAATTTATATACAAGCAAATAAATGATTCAGTCGAAATTATTAAGAAGTAGTGGATAAAATGAAAAATATGCTCCAATGTTCTCTGTAGCATTGGCAGTGATAACCTGGAAGCCATTCTCGAGAACATGATAAATTCTTAGTTTCTTCGATAAATTCACCTTTCCGAGTGGCAAATTCGCCGTATCTCCAGGCTTCGCTTATGAAAATTTACCATCCAAATACAAATATATTTTGATTTGACAAGCATTTTAAAAATATCAAATTATCTGTGGTTTCAGTAATATGAATCAAATATTTGTGGGAATTTTATCGCAGCTCAGTTGTGGACACCTTAAGCAATTAACCAAGCCTAATATTTTAGCATTATCCTTATTTTCGATGAAAACGGAAATTTTATGAAATATCACGAATAAATAAAACGACTGAACACGATGTTCCTCCTACTACGACTTCACATAGAAGATAGATCCAATGATAATTATCTCATTCATAGTATTCGCTACCTATTAAAACTCTCATAGCGAATTTTTGCCTCTCTTGAGTTTACTAGTGTTGCAAACGTTATATCGTTTTTTTTAATCTTTTAATCCACGTTTTAACAATAAGGAACAAAAAAATCAAAAGTAATATAAAAAGTAGTAGTTTAGTAGTTCAGAAAAACTTCTTTTCAACAGGTAGCAAACAACTCTAAAAAAACATTAATTCAAAGCATAAACTAAATAACTCAACAGCAAAAAAAAACTGATTTTGATATATATAAATTGAATGTTTAAATGGTTTCAGTGGTCAATAAGAATAGAAATCAGCGACAAGAACACGTATTGCACCAAAGAAAAAATGAAAGGAGATCAATAAAAATTCAATTATGAAATGAAAAAATCATTGTAAGAAAAATTTTGCTCCGTGACCTCCAGCGTTCTCAAATTGATGATGACTGCTGAGTTTGTTTTTGCAAAATTTGGTACCGAAACAAGCAACGTACGTTTTCCATTTTCATACTGTTTTACGGAGTGTTCTACATTTTCTTGATTACCTGAGAACAATATATGAGGAAATACTTCGATGATGAAAGGATCACGATTTGCAAATGGAAAGCCGTCGATTGTATCTGGGACTGTAGGTGCTAAATGCTGCCAAAGAAGCAATTTATTCAACAATTCTATACTATTGCCGTTAACAGAAAATCGCTTGAGATCTGATATATTATCACCTGCAACAAATGGATTAACTTATAAAGTGATAAAGAATGAAAATTAAAATCAATGAAAATTTTTGATAAGGAATATGATGAAAGAAAAGAATAAATGATAAATCGAACTGAACATTCGAATTGAAAAATGGATTTTTTCATATCTTATCATATCATTCAAACTTCTTAAGCAAACATCCAAATAAAGAATTTTTATAAATAGATATTAAAAGTGATTAAAAATATTCAACCTGAAGTTCCGATTATATGGGTTCCTTCGAGGCAAAAATGGTAGGGATTGGTCACAAGATTAAGCATTTTACCATGTTGTGAAGCATGTGGGAAAACGGCCCTATGAATTGGTTGCTGTGGTTGCAAATGTGTAGCTGGATCGCCTAAACCAGGCATAACATCGATTTCTATAAGGTTCTAAAAAAAAATTTACATACTGAACTATTTCGATTGACGCATTTGATAATTTTAATGGGCCCAAGAAAAAATGTTAAAAAATTTATATGAAATAATCTACCGATATTTTGGATAAAAAGTGATCCATATGGGCAACACATTCAACGTTTGGGGCCTCTTCATTTCTAATCAAGTATCGAGCTGCCATTGAAAATTCTTTTCCCTACCAAATAAAAAATTTAAATTTTAGAAATAAAAAAAATAAGAAAAATGGTAAAATTATATAATCATTCTTTGGCCTTGTACTTCCATGAAATTTGGTAATAAATTTGAGTAATAGTCTTCATAAATCAGATTATCAGCAATTTACCATATGAACTGGAAAAAATTTAAAAATTTTTAAAAAATCAGGTATATTTCAGAGAAAAATGAATAAATAACCAGAATAACCTGGTCAGTAACAGCAATGCTTTCACCAGCGACAATTAATCTAGACAAATTTTCTACAACAAATCGCTCCTGGAAAACAGAAATGTCATCAAAAAATTTATATTCTAATTTAAATAATAAATGGTTCCGATGCGAAAAAAATAAAAAAATTAAACAAACCAGGCGATTAAGAATGAAAAATAAGAGAAAAACAAAAAGTAAAACATTTTCCAGACGGAAAACAAAACTTATCCAGCATATTTTATAGCAAACAAAAAACCTTTTCAGAAATTGGCAAATAACCGCCTAACCATTTCTGCAGCAAATCTAAAGCCAGCATTTCCTCAGCACAATTATCATTTTCACTAGTGAAAGACAATCCTGATATTATCATGACGAATCTTAAATTATCCTGATTTCGAATGAATACACAAACTCATCAAATAAAAATAAAATTTAAATCAAATAAAATTTTAATGATTAAAAAAGATCAATCCACAAAGTTAAATGAATAAAAAGCATAAAAAAATATTTAAATTGGCATGCGAATCACATATAATTTACTTATCATGATCCAGCGTAGGTGCCACTGGTTGAACAGCTGGTAATGGCCAAATGAATTGTTGGACATGAAATGCATCATTACCGAATCGTTTCCCATATAAACCTACAACAATTCCAGTAGAAACATCGTCAAAATCTACTGCACCGGTTAGACGAACAATTTGATTTTCATCTTCAATTTCTATATAATCATCATCAGTAATCAACCTGAAATCTGGTAAAAAATGAGAGCCAATCAATAAAACAGCAAAAAAATAAACATGATTTAAAAATAAATCTTTACAAACAAAATAAGCGATAAAAATGAGAATTAAAAGATTGCGAAAATGTAAATTATTGCAAACCTTTAATTCAAAAATTTTAAGCATATTTTAAAAAATGAAGGGGAAATGATAAAAATAAAAAATAAAAAATAAGGAATGGAAAAAGAAAACGCAATTTTAAAAACTATTGAAAAAGAGTACTTAGCCGCAGGAATCGGTTGCGGTAGAACCATTTCTTCATCAGCCAAACTACGTAAAATACTTGGTCTCAGAGCGACACGTTTTATAATAGTTCCCATTATGAGAACAGGCGAATTTTGCTTTGCTTCTGTTATATGACAAGTATTAACAGCCTCACCTGAAATTTTTTAAAAATTCTAATTTTTTCTAAAACATTTGCGCAAAAACAGATGAAAATACGAGACTTATTCTTCTGTTCGATCGCTCTGATCGCTCTCACTTATTCTATTTTTTAGTTCAACCTAACCCATTATTTCAAATTTTTATAATTTTTAGTCGCTTACATTCAAAAAAAGAATCTAATTCTTAAATTATTTGCATCACTTTATCAACAAGTCAAAGTCAAATAATTTAACAAAATAAAATCAAACCAAGCAATTTCTTTGCATTATCGATAATTCGTTGCCGAAAAAGATTTACTCTCGTTCGATAAAAATGAAAGTACTGTCTTTTAAAACAATTTTCATCAAAATCTTCCCTGCTTATAAGAAATCTAGTCGAACAATTTTCATATGATAATGTTTTGCGATTTAATTGAACCATAATATATCTAAAAACATTTGCAAATAGTAATAATTTTTATTTTGAATCTAAATTTACAAAGACGGCGATAATAATTACAAAGTAGTAAATTGCTTTTATTCTCCCAACAAACAAATTCCATTCCTGTGCTTGTGCAGATTAATTGATGTACCTACTGTTTTTCGTCATTATCTGATCGTTAAAATCTATTTTGCAACAGAATTTCTACTGAAACTTCACAAAAATAACAGTGAAATATATTAAAATAGGACTAATCAACTGAATTGTTTCTTTATTACAAAATTATAAAATTAACGCACAAAGGCACAAATTTCAAAAATTGCTGAGAAACTATAACAGATGTAATTTACCCATGGAATGATGCCAGCGTCCTACCAAAATTTATAATTCTATAAGACAATAGTAGACAATAGTTGATAAAATAGTAGATACTTTAATTAACAGGAATTCTAATTAACTATAGGATTTCAATTAATCTTAGGACTAAAATCATGACAGTCGAGTAGCATGTTGCTTCTTCTGCTAACTTTTCTGGGTGGCCTGATAACTTGTAATTCCAAGTCCAAGTGACTCAATGGCGAATGAATACCCTTACAGCCAATTAAACGAGTCATGCAGAAGGATCAAAAGGTATAACAAATGAATCCGTCGCTGAAATTTTTTCAAAAAAAAATTTAAATTTAAATTTAAAATTTAAAAAAATTTAAAAAATTTAAATTTCAAAGAAATTTTTCCAAAAAAATTTTTTTCCAATTTAAAATTTGATTTAAAGTCAAGTAAATGACAATGAAAACTGTTCATTTTGGTCAAATTATTAAAAAAGAAAAAAATAGAAAATATAAATGAATCTTATTGACAGAAAATGAAAAAACGAAAAAAATGGAAGAATTGAAAATATATCAAAATTCTCAAATAATTTATAGCAAACGAAAAATTTAGTAATATAACTTATAACATATAACTCGGAATTTACCGGAAACAAATTTTCCTTGAAAAAGATTAGAAAAATTAGACTAACTTTTCTGAAAATATTTGCAATTTTTTTTTTCAAAAATTCATAAATCATTAAAAAAAGAATCAAAACACATAAAAACAAAATATTTTAAATGTGAAAAAAAGAATATATTCCATTAATGAAAATTTTACAAATCAATTAATCTTAAAAATGCGTGCTATCAAAAGAAAATGTAATCCATCCATTTGCAATGAAAGAAAACGACCAAATAAAAACCACACTTTAAACTAAAAAGAGAGAAATTAACCAAATAAATTTACGATATTCTAAAAAAAAAACAAAAAGCAACTTAATTCACTGTGAATATTCCTAAAACTAAAAAATTTTTAGGTATATCAATCCAAAAAGATAAAAAAAGAAAAAAAACAAAAACAAGATAATTAATCCTTCCTTTATTTTTCAATTTGGTTCTTTCAGCTGAGCACTAATACTATGATTTCGACTTTTATTACCAAAAAAATTTGCGCGGCATTGCGGAGTCCATATTCTCATATTCTCATCCATATTCTCATCCTCATCTGAATGGCTCATCTTAGCAATAAGCTGAATAAGGCAATAGACTGTTAGAAATAAGGTTTTTAAAAATAACCCGAAAATAATGAAAACAAATTTGTTTCAATTTTTAAATAAAAATATAATAAAGATAAACAAGAAATGATTTGCTCGCTTCGTTGAACAAAGACTCTGAACAGAGATATTTGGAAATAATGAAAATTTGGAATGAAATGTTTACAAATTTTTTAAATATAATTGCTCAAATTATTTAGTAATTACTACTAGCAATTAGAAAACAACTAGCAATGAATAAAATTATTGAATCATTTTCATCAGGAAACTATGCGTTCCACTGCGATCGTGTTGATGGATTAGTCCAACTTGGAGGATTAGATGGATAATAAGTCACTCCAGATGCAGCATTTGCAATATTTGATGCAGCATAAGTAGCTGCATTATATGCAGCAGGAGCTGTTGGGTCCCCCGCCGGTGTAGGAGGTGCGACAGGTGCAGATACCGATGTTGGCGTTGTACGCTGCCTGAATAAAGCATATAAATCTTGATAACGATCATGTTCACGTTGTAACTGACGCTTAAGCCCTTCATTTTCTTTGATTAACTCAGCATTTCTTCGTTCCAAATCATGTAAATATTCACGCTGGTCGCAATCATATCTTGCACGTTTCGTTACTGAACCATCATAGAGATCACGTTCGGTATATTCCAGTGGTCGTCGCGTTATAGCACTGCTTCCATAACCATATGGTAACGCTGGAACACGAGAAGAATTTGTAACAGCACTAAAACTGCGCGTCCGACGCCTTCTTTCACGCTCTTCTTCAATATTTATATGCCAATAACGACAGCGGGGAATACCGCGCGAACAACTTCCCGTTTGATATTCTTTACAATAAGGAATACCATTGATCGTATCACCATTGTGCACAGCAGCAATAGCGCGCGCTAAATTCAATGTTACGTCGCCAGTCATTTTGTAATGTTCAACATCATCGCGATGTGCATGTATAAAGCGGCAATTATCGCGCTGGCATCCGCGGTTCTGGAAAAATTCTTTTTTTAAATTGACAATTCAATACAATAACTAACGGTAAAGATACTCTCTTCGAAAAAACTATCTCAAACAATAACAATAAATAAAAAATACCATTAAAAAAACCCAACAAGAAATTAGAAAAAATTCGCAAGAAGATTGATGAAAATAAAGTGATAAAGGTTTTATCAAAAAACAATGGGAATTATTTAAAGCTACTATATATTAGAAGATATAAAAAGAAAACTGTAAGAAATGAAAACAAACAAAAGAAAAAAAAGGTTAACAGATGTTGCGAAGAAAATTAACAAAAATGATACCAATACTAACTTTATTAGCTCCACTATGAAAAGAAACAGGAAAATTACAAACAATACCTGAAAATCTATGCAAAAATTGTATTCTGGCTCTGCAAGACCTTTCCTCCGAGCAATTTCAATATTTTCCGGATGATAAAACTTGCAACGTGAACCGCGATTGCATATATTTTTCAAGAAATCCCTTCAAAAACATAATGATAAAAAAATTTATAAGCATCATACAAATCACAAATAATTACAAAATAATAAGAAGACTTATGGCAATAATATTATCTAACTAACAATAAAATAATTAAAAAGTACAATTAAAAAACTAAGCTATCAATTTAAAAAATATCCTTTAGTTTAAAACTTAAAATTGAAATATAAATCTGATGGTGCGTATAATATAATTTGTTATTTGCTATTAACCGGGAAAAGTGGATAGTTCCTACGCTTTTTCTTTTTCTATTCTCCAATTCCGGTCTCTTCCAAATCACCATTTCACTGTTGGAAAAGCGGCACAAATCACACAAACACAAATGTGTAATCATTTCAAACTACATATATTATTTCGCTATAATAAAATCACCTTTCATCTCTGTTTATCCTCCAACATTCACACTATTTCTTCACCAAGAAATGGACATCAGATATAAATACTTTCAACATAAATACTGTTGAATATATACCACCAAGATATTTACATTTTACAATATTTATATGAAGAAAGATCAAATTGAAAAATATGAAGAAAGAATAAATAACCTGCAAACATCTTCTCGTTCGTTGCCATTTTTTTTCTTATCGAAAGAGATTTCATGTTTTGCATCCTTCTCAGTCATTATTTAATAATAAGATGCTGAGATAAGAGGATTTCTTACCACGATAATTATGGTATCACGCTGTCGTTTTGATATTAACGATTTTAATGTGAACCGCTTCGATTCTCTGCTTCTATAAATGACATTATATTTTAAAAATTTTGGCCTTTTTTACCAGTAGCTTTTATTTGGTTTTTTGACTTTTTAATATATATTGATTTTAACAAAGAAATCAATTTCACTAGATACCTAATCAATTAGGAATTAGCCATACAGTGTTCCCAGCCACATAAATTATGGACAAACCCCCTCCCCACTCCCTACCCCCCTCTCCCTCCCTCTTTTCCTGCCCTTCTTCCTGAACAGAACGATTATGATAAAAACTGGAAACGATTTTGATTCAAACCGGAAAGAAAAATAAAGAAAATCTGCAAATAGAAATACACAGCTTAAAATTCTGGCTCGAAGCCAAAATTTATAATGTGAGCCCCGCCCATGGGCATGGTTTTCTTCATCTGGATAGAAAATTCAAGTTGCAGTATTATAAGGTTCAGATGGTGGGTGGTGTGTATCTGATCTGATGGTGCGTGATAACTTACCAAACATCGTGTGCTATGGTATTACATGTGTGTCTGGGAACAAATCGAGTCGAAGCCAGTGAATGAGAAATCACAAATTTCTCCAACACTTGTCATATTTTGAAAGAAATCTCTACAGGCCTCATATTCCATTAATACTTCCGGAATTCCTTTATTAACACTCCCTTCTCCTCCACATAGGTCGCGCTTCTTTCTCACCGAAACACTTTTTTTTACTCCTTGAACTTCCTTACTTCTATTTTAAGTGTAGACTTATTAATTGTTTCTTAAAATCCGTCATATTCTCTCATAATTCTCGCTTTTCTCCTTCAACACCTCAAATCCTTTCACCTCGACGGGGCTTCAAACATTGCTGTACAACCTTTTTTGAACTGAACATATTGAACTTGTTTACCCTATATTTCTAACGTAAAGTGCATTATATTCCTCATAAAAAAATGCTCTGCAAAAAATTTAAAAATTTCTGCTACGAATTTCTGAATCTTTGAAAAAAAGAAACCTTCTACGAAATTTTACTTTTTTAACTTTTTTTCGAAATATTTAGTTTTTAATCTAATTTAAGTTATTCATTTTGGTGTTCTACAGTGGTTCTTAGTCTATTTTATTAAGAAAAAAGACTACGTCTTAGGAAGGGAAAATCAAGGAGGAGGTAGTATAATGCGTTGAGTGGACGGATTGCGACACTGCTTCACTCAAAGTGACTAAAAACTGCGCGCGTGGGAGTGAGTTCCAGTGAAATCTTTGATAATTGCAACATTATCAAGGCATTTTGTAAATGGTAATTTTGTCAAAGAATGTTTCATGAACGCATTTAACGCACTTTGCTGCAAAAACTGCGACAAAAGCCTCAGTCGTCTCAATCGTATGAAAATACAAAGCGAAATATTAATATTTTAAATCAAATAAGGATGAAAATTTCGGAAATCTCGGATGGATTTATTTGCCGCCGTTGATGAATCACTAGCCAAATGGCTGAACTTGTTCGTGGCGTTTTGAAAATTCATGACAGACTTTAGAATGGTGTTCGTTTCACGAAAAGCTTAGATTTATCAGTTGCTCATCAACTGTCAACCGTTTTGATATTAACTATTAACTGGGACGGACAAAACCAAAGTGAGCAGTGATAAACACGCAATGACTGGGACAATGCAAGAAAGTGGAATGGGATCTAAATACATTACAAAACTAGGAATTCGAAATAAAAAAATATTATCACTGTATTATCAAATCAAGAGAAAGTGTGTGAGTGGGTTCGATGTCTTTTACATCAATAGTTGCAATGACATAAGTTTTATACGACTGCGTGCACATTCGCTGCTAGTTCAGTGCTGTTCTGGTGAAAGTTGGCGCACACTACAATTATATTTGAAATTCGGTGGCTAAGTCGAGGCAAACATTCGACCGTTGTCTAAGTCTTTGATATTTTCCAAACTGCCATAAGTTTTTGAAAAAAAATATAAGCGATTTAATGCTCGATAAGCCACTTATATCGAGAAACATAAAGATTATTTAAATGAAAATTTTCAAAATTTGGAGCTGATAAACTGTTTATAAAATTCCTAAAGCGGCTGAATTCGCATTGTAATTTGAACTGATTTATCTGCGTTAAAATGAAGAATTAAGGAGAAAATTCAAGAAAAGAAATTTAGTGGAAGAATCCAAAATTGAGAGAAATCTAATTTGCTAGCTAGCTTTTTCTCCTTACAGATGAAATTCAACAGTCTATCCACAGTTTGTCAAGTGAGAACCTTGGCGCAACTGAGCATAACTGTTTAGTGTTTGCAAATATGGTCGATTCAATATTGGATACCAGAGCGATTTCGCTGCCCAGCCATACAGCTATTTATTTGCTCATAAAACAGCTACTGCGTTTAACAAAAGTTTAGATTTCTTCACCGAGAAATCTACGTTATATGCATGAAAGTGAATGAATGAGGAATGCTGTTGCAGGAACTTATCTGCAATTACTCCTCGAACATGACAACAATCGATAATTGATAATTATTTATAAAATTATAAATATTTTTAACAATATACAATATATTTGATGTAATTTATATGATATCAACTTAATTTCGCCAATTTTTTGGGAATAAAGGGAATAAAAAGGGAAAGGGAAACCTAACGAGTCTAATTAGCAATGCGTTCGGAGGGGAATTAAAAAAATTATTTCTGTAAGTTATCAATAACTTACTTACTGACACATTGATTCCATTGATTAATGAACAAAAATAAGCAAAATTTTTACTTTTAGTTATCTTTTATTAATTAATCAGTTATGACATAATTATAATTGGTGGATTGATACTGCGGTAAATGAGAAAAGAACAAAAAGAGAAATCAGAGTAAAAAGCAGGACTGTGAAGAGACAATAAAAAAGCGCATCTTTCCAAAGAGCCACTCAGCGACAGAAATACAGGATGAGTAGCATTACCCGAATTTGTGAAGGACAGTTTTGCTGTCTCCTGCCGAAAATGGAATTCGAGCATAGGCACTCTCAAATAAATGCAAAACCACTGAATCTCGATGGATCGTAATTTCTAAAATCATCTTCAATTTTTTCACAGAGAATTTCAGGGATATCCATTAAAATCCATTTTGATTTATTTAATTTTTTATTTTATCTCATCCGATCCTTTTTCTCCTTTTTTTGAAGGAAAAATAATTAAAATAGCTTTAGTCTTATCCAAAGAGGATTCAATGAAATATTTTATAATTTATGAATAATAAAAAAATTACGAAAAAAATTCTCGTTCTTAAATATTTTTTAAAAATTCCTCAACTGAAGTCGCATTCATATATTCCCATTATTATTTTTTAAGATCTTTATAATAATAGTCAATAAATAACAAAAACGTTCATTAAAATTTCTTCATTTGTTTTTCCATAGCGATATTGGCGTAAGAACGTGTGTCTACTTTTCTAAGAGTTCTTATTTTGATTATACTAGCTCCGCTGGCTTTTCAGAGTCAAAAGATGCTTTATTTAGCCAGAAAGATGCTTGACGATAGAACTACAGGTGAATTAACGGCATCGCCAGGTTCTTTAAAGTTTTTCTCTTGCCAGGAACATAATATCGTTAAAACATAATATCCTACGAAATATGAGAAACAGCCCACTGAGCCGTTCCACCGCATCATTCAATTAAATCTATTATGGCTTTATTAATAAAATTTATAAAATTTGATAAAATAGCTATAGTTTTATCAGAGATAATGGCAATTTTCCAGTAATGGCAATTAAAACTTAAGACCTTAAATGAAATTTTAGAAATTGAGGCATGAAGAACTAGTTATAGTCATAAATTTTGGTATTTGAATAAAATAATAAGTCAGCGTAATAGATAATTTTTTTCTAATATCGCTCACCATTTCTAATTAGGCTCACTCTATTGGCTTGTCGGACCAAATTTCTTCTTCTTCTAACAGCTCTAACCATTACTGGTTAGGCTGGCTCCAACGGCTACAAGAGTAAGACGCTTCCAAGTCTGATGCCATCGTCGACAATAATGGAAAACATTCCTTTTTGAATCTTTAAGTCCATATATTGCTGGTCCACTTATGCGTTCAAAATCTTTTCTGACCGTATCAGTCCAGCTCTTGATTGGGCCACCTCGCTTTTGACGTCACCCATCACACGGTTTAGCAAATAACGAAATATGCGTCAAGTCCTGTGGTGGACGACGGAGAATGTGCCCTAACCAGCGAAGGCGGCGTTCATTGATAACATTATTTATGCAAGTGGTATATGAACGAAGGAGGATGCGATATAGTGAGATTTTATCCACTCGGCGAACCCGTAATATGTACCTTAGACAAGAGTGGTCAAAGGCAGATAACTTAACATCCTCCACTCTCATTGGCCATGACTCAGAACCATATTGCAAGATTGAACAAATCACGGCTATATAGATGCATACTTTCGTTTTTATGGTGATTTCACGACGATTCCATAAAAGTTTCGTCAACCGGAAGAACGCATTTCTAGCTGCCGTGATCCGAGTTGTAATATCATCTTTTGCCCGTGCATTTGATATTAGAGGGGACCCAACGTATTTGAAATCGGGCACTTCCTCAACCGTCAATGAATTTACAAAAAGAGGCATTTTATCAGCTTCTTCCACATAAGGCGAAAATACTTTCGTTTTATTTACATTGATCCTGAGTCCGATTCTTGCTGCAGTTTCTGACACGTTATTTAGCATTAATTGCAATTCCGTCATAACTGTCAGCAAAAAGGACTACATCATCAGCGTTCAAGGTTTGTGATATGATGCTCTGGACTAATTCGGACACCTCTTGAGTGCCGACAAGCGGTGTCCATTACCCAGTCTATCGCATAGTTGAATATTGTGAGGGAAAGGACGCATCCTTGACAGACACCAGTTCTCATTTCGAAGGAATCTGTCAGCTCCCCAGATACACAGATCTGCGCTCATAAAATGCCTTTATGAGTCTAATTTATTTATTTATTGAAAACCAGCCAAGGAGGACGCAAACGCAATGTGTTTGTATTAATAACATCAGTTAAAATAACAAATAATAAGAACTAATAACAAATAACAAAAAAATAATACAAATATATTATTAAAATAGTAATATAAATATTATGATATAATATTTATATAAATAATATAAATAATAATAAAAATATATATAATAAAACTATATTAAAACAAAATAAACAATTTAAAGATGAAATAAAGAGGACATTGCAAAATATTAAAACATTTGACACATTTACAATTCGAAATAACTATAATCGGATGGTAAAAATCGCGATTTCACACGTCCTTGCATGATGTGAATTTTTTAAATAATATCATAAATGATATTATCTATTCTTTTTTTAAAGATAGCTAGGGATGGCGCACAAGCTATATCGTTCGGTACTCCAATAAGTCCTCCAGTAATTAATATTAATTGCGAATAAAGAAATAATGAATTCTTAGTTTAATTTTACACATAGGTTTTAGTAATTTTAGCCCATTAGTTCTTGTTCGATTTAAATTTAACCTAAAATTATAATATTTTGAACAATCTAGTTTAACATAACCATACAAAATCTTGAAAGATACTGTGAGGTAAAGTCCCTGGACCAAAGGCCGAAAGGGTTGTCGCTAGTAGTAGGTGGAACCGGTGAAGGTCAAGATAGCTAGTTTGAGCCGCAAACCGCGTAAAGTTGGATGTCGTCACAAGCACAGTGTAATGCTATAAGTATAAATTAAATCTTGTTTAATACGACTAACTGACAGAGAATCCAGGTTATACTTAAGAAGTTTTATTTCATAATTAAAATTGCAATTAGAAGAGAAGCCGTATATAGGAGATTAGGCCGTATAAAATATTTTTGAGTCCTTTAATTATTTTACTTGATTTACGATATCTCGGAGCAACATGTAGCATTTTAGTCAAGAAGTGGCCAAACGAACGCTTTATACATTTTGATAAGGAAATCTTCAGTTTTATTCTTAAACAACGATGAATAAAATTTATTATCTTTGAGGATTTCTTTACCATGGTTCTGCGGTGAAGGTCGAAATCGAGATTTTCATCCATGATTGTTCCAAGATCGGAAATGTGTGAGGCTCTGCTGATTATATTACCATTAATAAAAAGATTAGGAAGATCGAATCCTATAGAATTGATATGAAGAACGCTACATTTTTGAAAGGAAAGGGTAATTTTGCCTGTTATATAGCCAGCTGGCTATTCTGTTAAGGTCCTCCTACAGTGGAGATAGGCCATCTGATCTACCATAATAAATTTTACAATCATCAACATAAAGATAAATAGTAGAATTTAACACCACATTGGTTACATCATACATAATATACAATAGAAAAAGCAATGGCGCAATACAACTATCTTGGGGAACACCAGATTTAACAGGTTTTGTGTCAGAAAGAGTATTGTTGACGAGTACGGCTTGGTTACGTTCTTTTAATCTGATACCCAGTTATAAAGGGCCCCTGTAATGCCTTAAGAATGATCAATAATTTGCTATGGGAAAGCTTTAGCCAAATCTAGGTACACAACTGATACTGCTTTACCATTGTCAATTGATGCAGACCAATCGGAAAGATTTGCCAATATTTGTGAAGAAGTGGATTTTTTTTATACAAAAGCCATGCTGATATAAAATTATTGGTATCAAGATAAGTGACCAATTGATATAAGATAAGTAACCAATTTGTTGCAAATCAACCTTTCGAGTACCTACGCATATTAGACTAATAGATCTATAATTAGAAGGGTCACAGGTGCTTCCTTTTTTATGAATGGGAATTATATGAGACAACTTCCAAATCTTGGGATTAAGGCCAGATTTCATAATGTCTTTATAAATTAAAAATGGTGGAAGACTAAGTGAAACTAATTTTTTATAAATTATTTGTGGAATATTATTGGAACCAGCTGAAATGGACGGCTTAAGTCTATTTAAAGCATCATAAACATCCAGTAGTGTTATTTCAACTTGACCGAGAGAAGTGCAACAAATTCGATTTACGTTAAAACAAGAAGTATGAGTATTATCCTCAAATATACTGGAAAAATATTGATTAAATATACTTGCAATATCAATATCAGATATGATCGTATTATCATTATGTTGTAAAATTAATTGCTTATGTGGATTTGAAAAATTTTTTTTGATATAGGTCCAGAAAAAATTCTTATTAATATTTAAAATTTGCTCCTTTTTATTTGAAAAGTAATTATGAACGGCATCATGGAAACTTCTTAAACGTTCTTTATATGCAGAAAGGTCACTTGGCAATTTGGTTAATTTGTATTTGTTATAAAACTTCTTGACATTTTTTAAAAGAGGTTTTAAAAAAATGGGAATCGACTTAACGCTTTTTTTTTATGCTATTAAGAAAGCGAACTTTTTCATCGATAGAGCGAGCTAAACAGAATAAGAAATCCCAGTTTATTTCTGCGAGGATAGAATTAACGATTTCATTTCATAATCATAGTGACGATAATTTCTAGAATATCTCGAAGGAGGCCCATAACAGTCTAATTTTAATGAAGTATGAATGATGTTGTGATCGCTGTTACAAAAAGGCCCCAAGACTCCAAGACTAATGCTATCAACAAAAGTAGAAGCAACTAACACAACATCTAAAATAGTGTTATGCCTAGTGGCAATCTTAATGTTGCTCTAGACCTATATAGGTACAAAGGTTTAGAAAGTCCTCTTCAAATTTGCTTTTTCAAGCAACTATTTTCCCAAACTATATTTGGCATATTAAGATGGCCAACAATTATATAATCAGCACCAAATATTTTTAATCTAAATAACAGGTTGTAAAGATCCCTAGTGAATATACTGCAATAGGTTGGCGGTATATATTTAAAAGGAAAATGTTTCTATTATTACGATAAATTTTAGTTATTAGAGATTCAAAAGAGGAATAGACAAAAGTTACAAATTTATAATAATCAGGAAAAAGCGTGATAAGCCCACCTCCACGAGTATTTAAACTATTTATTGTTCTATCGTTGCGTGACACTAAAAAGCCATCGAAGTTTAGTTCCCGATTATCAGTAGAGTCTAACCAAGTTTCATTGATACAAAAAATACTATTTGGGTTATCAATTAGTAGGAGATGTAAGTCATAAAGTTTATATTTTAAGCTTCTTGCATTAAATATGCATAAAGATAAATTACTTCCTATTTTATTAACCTTACTTGGCAAGTTGTCCTAAGCTGTAGTAGATTGATAGGAGGAAATTGGAATAGAAAAATTGTTTGTCGTTGTAAACCATCGGCTGCCTTAATTCCACAATTTGAAGATTTCTGATAACGTATGTCTTTAGATTGAGATTCTGATTCCGCACATAACATTCTTTACGCAACTGTTTGTCTAGAAATAGTTCTCTTTTCGTTAGATAGATCTTTCCTCAAAAAACTACCATGGAGAACAATCGAGTGCACGTTCTTATTAAGCAATATAGACATAGCCATGTATTTATCTTCAAGTCGAATCTTAAATACTCATGGCCTGCCTGACCCCTTTCTTCCATGTCGTCGGACTTCCTTAATGTAGCCAGTCTGATCCCAGCGGCAGCTACAATATTCTCAGCTAAAAGTCTATCGGCGGTAGCAGTCTATTGATCAGTAAATTTCTTTGGAACATTTATGCCAACTAGATATGGTTCTTTTTCTTTTTTTTCACAATATTCATCAATAGTTTGCAATATTAGTTCAGTTGAGAAATTAGGAGGATTAAAATTGCTATTCAAAGACGATGCTTTCAGTTTATTGATATCATTCTTAAGTTCCTCGTTGAGTTCCTCGTACCTTTGTTAGTATTTCAATAGATCTGGTTAAATGCAAAATTAGATCTTGTTGCTTTTCATATTTTTCAGTAATGGAAACTAGCTTCTCAGGTCCTCGATAGTTAAGAAGACGACAACATTGGCAGAAGCGACCTTATTAGTTGCATTTCGGTGCCATTTGAATAAGTGACACAAACAAAAATTTCTTTTATCTTATAAGTACTTGATGTAAAACGATAAAAGCAATATACTTTTGAGAATACCTTTCAGAATAATTAATATATTAAGACGAATGATGTATTCCTTTTATCTTCTTAGGGAAGCACAATATAATTTAGAAGAATTAATGAATTAATTTTAGCAGTGGAGCTCACTTCCCTTCCATTTTTGTTCTCTAGCGAAAATTTTCAATTAGTAGTGGAGCTCATCTAATTAGAAATAGACGCTTTTATTCTGCTAAATTATATTGTGCTTCCCTATATATTATATAATTATATTAAATTATATTCGTTGATCTAGGAGATAGCCAAATTTTGAAAAAATATTTATAGAATTTTAAAAGCTTATGATTTTAAAAGCATGCGATTGAACTTACAGGAAAAGCGAAGTATTATGAATGAATTATTATGAAGTTTTTATGAAAAATTCAGAAAATATTAAAAATATCTTATATACAAATTAAATTTAAAAAAACACTTTTTTTACTGTCGATACGCTGAAAAGTTATGTGATAATGCGCCAGAAAATTTCAAAAAATTTTATCTGATAAACGAATGTTTTATAAGAAAAGATTAGATTTTTTGGAATCGCCACGATTTCTGATTAGGAAAGCACGGTGTACAATATGATAGAACAGATATGATTGATTGGCGATTATACTGAGCTGCAAGGAAAAGATATCATGGACCACTTTTCGTCCTTAAGAATTTTATTTTCTAAAAACAAATTTAAATTGCTCACCTTTAAATACAATATCGGCATGTTTTTCTACACTGTATTCGCATTACTTTACCATAATCTCCAACAAAGCATTGATTAACGTACTTTGGACAGTCAACGTGATTGTCTCTGCATAAACTTACAGGTGGTGGTGGTCGTATTATTACAAGTGGTGGTGGTGGAGGTGGTTGTATTATAATTGGTCTGAGAGCTTTCTCTGGAAGTTTTTCGGTCATCGCTTTTGATACTTTCGATGCCATCGTTGTTGTTTTAATATCTTAAAAAAATATCCTAATATCTTAAATATCCATTTGCGAATTGCCACGAATTTATTCATAAAAAGTTAAATGAACAATGGCAATTAGATGTAACAATTTAACCTAATTTAACAATTAGATGTCGATAAGGGTAACTTCGCTGATTATCAATATTTCTTATCAATCTCATTCAGAGATTACTGTAACTTTTTCATAAGCATTCAGTAAATGATTATTGTTAGTAGCTTAGTGGCAATCGCCAATGAGAATCGAGAATGGTTCAGGTTCGAATCCGATCGGCGCATTGCGCTTCGGGGGTCATAATTGCCGAACTGCAAAAGCAAAAGAAGTGGAATGGTTCAGTGGTCGACATGACCAAATTTGTTTTTCAAAAATCCGAGTGGTGCTGAAGGCTTATTGTCAAACTTTCACTTCCTGGTAGAATTTAGCGACAAGCTAGCGGAACGAATCTAACTAGCAATGGCGCCGTTAAGAAAAAATTTAAAAAATAAAAAAGCGAATAACTTGTTGATGACATCTAAATCCTTTCAAGATTCATTTTAATGACATATTAAATATTGAATTTCTCAAATTTCGAATCAAAACAATAAAGAATTTTTACAGTAAGAAAATCCACAAATGTTACGTCATTTCATAATTCATTTTATTCTAACCAGTTCACATGTAAAATGATTAGAGTGGCGTTCGATTAATGTTAAAATTCGATTCACTGCTCTTTTACAGGAGTAAACTTTTCATTAAAAGCGAAATCTGGGAGGTAAAAGCGACATAGCTATATATATGTTCCTTTGATCAAGGGATCTCACTCTTTAGAACCTTATGGAAAGTGGAGTCAAACCAGAAATGATCAGCATTATTGATAGCCTTATTAACATTTATTACAGTGGTCATCAAGTGGTTTTTTTAAAGAATCTCCTAGATGTATATATGTGCATTAAATGTGCATTAGAAATGATTTTTTAAATAAAATATAATTCAAGTCAAGCTCCTAGATATCCTTTCAGAATTGCCATGGGCCCCAGAGGATCCATAAAGGCCACTTTGACAACCACTGGATATAATGTTGAAAAAATGAAATTTCTTTTATATCGTATTAATTTAACAAATTTACCAAATCACTGCAAAACGCATCGTTACATCCAATGTTACTTCAGACTTCATCATATCTATCGAATTACTTCGATTTATTGTCACTATGAAATTCATTCGAAAAAATAATGGTGCTGGCTATAGCTGCTTGTGGACTTTGTAAACCAAGCGATTATGTTCCACACCCTTTCTAAATACCGCGTGGACGTGGGTTGTTTGTCGGAGGCCCATCTTCTTCATCCGTCGCCTCTCGAGTAATTATTAAAACTGGTTACGAGATATTGTTTATATCACTACTGTATCTCGGATAACTAGGGGCGAAATGGCGTAGCGACTGTAGAAGTTTGAAAAAGCTTGATCCGTTCTGATCAAGTAGAAGCCAGTAAATGATGGTATAGCCTATTTCAAAGAAACGTTCTGCGATATTTGGGTTATCAGTGTATATGCTCCAACTTTATGAGCAGACTGCAATAAGGATAAGTTCTATGAGGAGCTTCAACTATTAACAACATTTCTACTGAGAAGCGACATGGCCATAATAAGGGAGACTGGAATGCATGCGTAGGTCATGATGCCGTTGCAATGAACTCGGAAATTGGCAAATATGGCATCGGGGTCCAGTGAGCCAGTGAAGAATGTCTTCTTCATTTAGCCAAATAGTATGATCTCTTTATTATTAATACATGCATCGTCTAGTCGCGTGGAACGCTCGGATAACTAATATTCCAATAAGATTGACTATATATTGGTCAATCATCGCTGAAGGAGTTCTACTTGATAGTCCTTCTTATTGAGGTGCTAAAACTGATAATCTTCATGGATCAGATGTTGTGGCTCGAGCCAAGATTCTCATAAAACTGACAAGTTATAAACAATCTATCAAGATCTATCAACCATCTTAAATTAAAAGATCTGGGAACAATAAGCGCATTTCAAATCGTACCGTATTATTAATATATTATTATTAATATATCTCACTGAAATGAATATCAATGATAACTCTGGTACAGCGAATGAATACTGGTCCCAATATTTACAAAAGTCAATAGGGTATAATAGTGGGACGTACGCAAGTTGGGTATCGGAAGCAACTTTCCAACTATTTGAAAAAGCTGCCAAAGTCCGAAATTGCCAGGAGATTTTGACTTTCGGATGTTTCAAAGGGTCGCAACAGCACTGTGGGTCAGAAATTACTATTGGAACGAGATGGCCTTGAGAAATGAGACGGCGGCTAAATTAGGTGATAATAGGAAACTATTTCGCCTTCTTCATAAAGCAACTATAACTCGAGAAGGGGTAAAATGATGCGGGACAATGGGGTGTTAAAGCTATTAAGGATCGTCTCATAAGGAGGAAAGAATTTTTTGAGGTCAAATTTAACCAAGATGCCATTTGTTGCCTCGCATATAGCTGATTCACTCCCCATACGTTTGAAAATGCGAACAGAAGAAGAAGTAATCTCCATAAACTTAAGGAGTCCATCAAGGTTGCGTCCTTTTCCCTATAATATTCATTAGATCGGATTGGCACCGGTTGTCGGCACTCAAGAGGTATGCAAATCAATTCAGAGTATGCATAACAGACTATGAATACGCTGATGATGTAGTCCATTTTTACTGACAATTAAAACTTTCGAAGATGGTCTCCTGGACAAACTCTTCAAATGTCCATTATTATACATAATTCACCTTCAACAAATGTACTCTCTGATATGGCAAAAGAAAATAATACCAGAATACTGGAACAAAATAATTCTATTTCCATTTCTAAATCTATTTCCAATTCCTTAGAAAGATTACAGGATATACGACTGAGCCTATTAGACATCTTCGGAAAAATTTTCGCTTCCCTTCTGCTAAATAGACTCATGGAAACACGAGATAGCAGAATACGTCCTAAGCTGGATTCAGACCAGATATTTACACTAAGGGTGCTGGAACATCACTTCAAATACCAGCAATCGTCACTTGTTTTATCGATTTTGCAGCTGCTTTCGATTCGATTAATAAAACAGCACTCTGGAAAGTGATGAAATCTGACGGTGTTCTAGAAAAAATCATTCGATTCATAAAGGCGTTTTATGAGCATACGTAAGTGCAGGTCTGTATATGGGAAATTACAAACTCCTTCGAAATAAGAGCTAGTATCCATCAAGGTTGCATCCTTTTCCCTATAATATTCAACTATGTGACAGACCGGATAATGGGCACCGCTTGTCGGCACTCAAGAGGTCTGAAAATCAGTTCAGAGTATAGCATAACAGACCATGAATATGCTGATGATGTAGTCCATTTTTTGCTGACAATTAACAAAGTGCAAATAATGGTAAACAATGTGTCAACAATTGCAGCGAGAATTATACTCAAAATCAATATAAATAAAACGAAAGTTTTTCGTCTTATATACAAGATGTTGATAAAATACCTATTTTTATCAATTCACTGCCGATTGAGGAAATGCCCGATTTTAAATGTCGCACTGTAATCCCAAATGACCAGGCAAGGGCTGAAATTGCAACCCAGATAATGACGGCTAGAAATATATTTTTTCCGGTTGATCTTCATAGAATTGTCGCGAAATCACCAAAAAGACGAAAATTCACATCCATTGACAACTCATCTCTAAGGTACATTTTATGGATTCGCTGAGTGGATGAAATCTCACATGGTCCACCTTCGTTCAAATACCACTTTCATTAATAATATTATCACAGAGCGTCGTCTTCGCTGGTTAGGGCCCGTGTTCCCTCGTGCACCACAAGAGTTAACGCATATTTTGTTACTTGCTAAATCCTGTGATGGGTGGCGTCAAAAGCGAAGTGAACCAATCAAGACCTAGATACCTTCAGGAAAGATTTTGAACGTATAGGTGGGCCATCAATATATGGAGTTAGTCGATGGAAAAAGGAATGGTTTGTATTACTAGCGATGGCGTCGGACCAAACAGCTTGAAGACATCTCACCCTTATAGCCAGCGGAACCATCCTAATTAGTAATGGTGAGGCTATTAGAAGAAGTAGAAATAGTGGTGATGGCACACGCATCCGCTGAATATGGTAAATACGGTATGTGTAGCCATCCAGATAGTTAGTGATTTTATGTGCAGTGCGGATGCTAATGCCGTTTTATGCGAGTAAATATATTTAAAAAAGAATAATTAAAATAATAATTGAATAAGTAAAAATTTAAAATAATAATTGAATAAGTAAAATAATTTTTGTTGCTTTCCTAATCTTTTGTCATGTAAGAAAAATTGGTTACATTAAAATATGCAATTTTTTCCCTTTTTGGCGAATGGCTCAGATAATTTAACTCTAAGATTTTTGACACCTAAGGCTTTAAGGCTTTTGCACCACGTGATGAGGCAAGAGAAATCTTTTAGACATTTATACTTGTGAATCTGTCGCAAACGTTTCGATAGGAATTCGCCATTTTCTCAAGAGATTTTTCGTAATTACTGCATTTGTCTTTAGTTTCACATATCATATTGAATTTCTTCACTTGAATTTTCAGTTCATCAAGGTTTTGTAAGGCTATTTCGCTTTCAATAATTAAACGACTGATCAATACTTCCTTGCATTCTCCTGAAATGTGCCAATTTGACTATGCAGTGGAAAAAAGATCTTAATTAAGGTAATCTTATAAATGAAAACAACGTTGTTGATTTCTATTTGAATCTGACATTACATATATAATTTTAAGAATTTTAAGAACTTGTCACAGAATTGCAAAATTAAGCAATGGATGCGTTGCTCCGCAATAAAAAAATAAAAATACGAAAAGTAGTAAAAGTTCTTCTAAAGTTCTAAAACTAAAAAAGTTTATTTATTAGATCTGCAAAATTTGAAAAAAACTTTCATATGAAAATATTCTTTATTTTTTACAATAAATTAA